GACTAACGAGGCCTTGAAAATACCTCGATTTCTCCCCTTTCGAGACCTTGGTTGTCTTCCTCAAGGTATTCAACCTTGTCAAGGTCTCCACAAGGGGACGAGGGCATCCGACATTTTGGGGAAGGGGGGTCGACCTCCACCTGTGATGTGCCACGTCATGTACACACATGCCTGGCACAGCAGTGCCAGGCACAGAGAGCAAGCAGCATCGAGTGAACGTCGGCATTTATTTGGCAGAAGTGCAGTGTCGATCGCCGTTTATCGACTTGTGGGCCCGCAATAATAGTTGTAGCTGTCGGGTCAAAAATACCACAGCCCAGTACAGCAGCGGCATAGTGCCCATGAAATCGCTCAGCACAGGGAGGGTCGGAAATGTCCAGTTTCGTCAGTACTGCCTCTCTCTAGTGCCGGTTTACCTACATATTCTAAGCCAGGGCACCTGCCGGCGCTAGTACAGCTGCGGGACGACACCATGCCTGCGTCAACATCTACATACGCTCTAAACGAACATAACCTGGGCCTTCATAAATAAAAACGCCGCAGGCATGTCACCGCTCCCACGCGCGCATGACGAAGGTTGCCGCTCCGGGCACAAGCCTCTCAAAACAGCTGGAGCAAACAGCAACGCGTGCATCTTTTTCCCCATCGGGTCGAACTAAGCCTGCAGATAGATGCGCCGCTTCCCTGCCTCCCCCTGCCCACGGTCAGACGGCATCGGGCCTCTCTATACACAGCGGACACCTCATGGGGTGGCATTAGCTCCCGCCTCCGTTTTGCGCTGCGAAAAAATAAAACGAACCCAGCACGCTGATCAGCAGCCAACACACCTACAATCGGCCACAACCGCCGCCCACATCAACCATACCAAGCGGGAACATGAAGTTTATATGTTCCTGAGAAGGGTCAACCCGCCTCGTGATGAGAGACGACGTCCAACCCAACCCGTGTAAACCGAATCCAACCCTCGATCATTTTTGCTTGGACTCGTGGAATTCGTCGAGCTTGGCGTATTCCGCCTGAACCCTCTCCTCCATGATCGCGATGAACTCCGCCTTCTTCAAGGTTTCCCCGGGCGGCGGCAGCACCTCTTCCCCGAAGGCGACGCTTGCGGGACCCCTGTCGGCCTGCCGCCGCTCGCCGAGCTCCTTGTTGACCTTTGTCGCATGCGTAGGGGGGGGGACGTGTGCGTTGAATATTTCCGCTCGTCATGGTTGCCGCTCAACGTAAAAAGTATGGTGAGGTGTTGAAATGTAGCGGTGACGCTTCGTTCGTGATGGAGGGCTCATGTGTGGCTATGTCTACAAAAATCGTAGCCATCGCCGACAGTTTGCATTGCGAAACAACGCACGGGCGACCGACGACGCGCAGGCAGCCAGCCCTGAGCAGGGGGTATCCGGCGGCCTACAACTGCCTTGTCCGCGAAAGGTCGGCGGCTGAGTTGTGTTGTGTCTGCCTTTGTGTTTTCGTCCCATCGGTTCCACCTACGCACGAACGTCTATATATGTACGTGTGTTTGAAACATACCAGGCCGGGTCACACGGCA